CTGTAAGAATGAAGTAAATCTATACTATCTGGATTCAAGGCTTTATTTAATGCCCAGCCCCAACATCCTCTGTGGAGCCTTCAATGGTCCCCTTGGGACTTGTAGTTTTGACGTTGCACGAACTCAGAAGAGAAGGCGGGGGCGGGGACATCACTTCTGATCTGTGAAAGCTATTTTTTTAAAACGAAACTTTCTAAGGCCTACAGCGACCCAGGTCCCCCATCTCCGTTTTCCCGCCCTCCAGTATACCCGCAAGGTAAATGTGGGCTCACAACGTGACAGATTATATTTACATGACTCTTCATGATTCGTTCATTCAACAAGTAATTATTGTCATCTACTCTGTGATGTGGGCCTGGGGGAGACCTGAGACAAAGAGGGGTTAAGCTAAGAGGAAAATGCTTAGATTTGTGAAGGGCCGTCCTAAGGAAGAGGGAACTGGCTTGTTCAGGTCCACTCAGAGGAAACTTCTGTTTAAAAGGTTTCTGGCCTCAGCTGTGAGGAACTTCCCCAGTCAGTCTCTCCAGTAAGCTGGAGAGACCTGTGCTTCTTCATCCTGGTTATGCCTTTCTGGGTAGTCATGAGTCCCAGGATATGAGCTGGGAAACCTCACCCTTAGCCAAGCCAATGATGGCTTTGACAGCTTCACAATCGGTCAGGACCCCATCTTCTGGGCCCAGCTTCAGTTACCAAGCCCCTCTGTGTGTTGTCTGCATATTTACACTTAGGATGATGTCATTTCTGGGCCCTACCACCTCTGAGATCGGACTTTAACATAACGGTTTCCACCTGAGCTGGGAGTGCCTGGTAATCCCCATATCAGGGAATGCCATCATCTATCCTACCCACATAACAGGTTAGGTGACTCTACTGTGCACCTACAGCATTTATCATATTGTTTTATAATTGTCTGTTTCCTTGTTGTCGCTCCCACAGGGTTTTAAGTCCTTCAGGAAAAGCATTTTTTTCCATATTGTTCATGTATGTTCCATTTTTTCCATTATTGTTCAGTAATACACAGCATAGTGCAGGCGTAAAGAAGGCCTGCAGTAAATGTCTGTGAACAAATGAGGGAATATACAGCATCGGGGACAGGCTTATCCC